ACTTTGAGGAGGATTGGTATAAACTGTTCTTTGAACTTCTGGTAGAATTCTACATTGAGGCCATCTAGACCTGGGCTTTTTTTGGTTGGGAGACTTTTGATGACCGCTTCTATTTCCTTAGGGGTTATAGGTCTGTTTAAATTGCTTATCTGTTCTTGATTTAATTTTGGCAAGTGATATCTATCCATAAAATTGTCCATTTCCTTTAAATTCTCAAATTTTGTTGAGTACAGGTTTTCCAAGTATGACCTGATGATTCTCTGAATTTCCTCAGTGTCCATTGTTATGACCCCCTTTTCATTTCTGATTTTGTTAATTTGCATGTTCACACTCTGTCATTTGGTAAGTTTGGATAAAGGTTTGTCTATCTTGTTGATTTTCTCAAAGAACCAACTCTTCATTATATTGATTCTTTGTATTGTTTTCCTAGTTTCTACTTTATTGATTTCAGCCTTCAATTTGATTATTTCCTAGCGTCTACTTCTCCAGGGTGAGTTTTCTTCTTTGTGTTCTAGAGCTTTCCGTTGTGCTGTTAATTCTTTAGTGTGACTATTCTTGTTTCTTCATGTGGGCACTTAGTGCTATGAACTTTGCTCTTAGCACTGCTTTCAGAGTGTCTCATACAATTTCCTATTCTCATAACTTGATGAATTCTAATGCCCTTTTAAAAATTTATCTACAGGTCCTTGTTTGTTTAGGACTCTCTCTCTCTCTCTCTCTCTCTCTCTCTCTCTCTCTCTCTCTCTCTCTCTCTCTCTCTCTCCTCCTGAGATGGGATCTCATGTAGCCTTGGCTGACTTCAAACTCATTTTTTTTTCAAACTCATTTTTGAAGTCATGAATGACCTTGAACTTCTGGTCCTCTTTTCTCCACCTTGAAAGGCAAATCTGGGCTCATAAAGTGGTATTATAATGTGAAGTTCAAACTCCATCACCATAAAGTGGTCAGTGCTAATGTGGCAAGAGATGATGGGAAAACCATCAGCATGCTGATGGGGGATGGGATGGCGCATGGGGAAAGATCCAGGTATGTCTATAAGGAACATCTAGGTGGGCTTCTAGGGGAAAGATTGAACATATTTGGGGCAGAGTGCTACAGGGAGAAAAGAATGTGTGGGCCAGAGAGGGTAATGAAGTAGAGTGGGAGGCAGTAGAGAGACTACTTTCCTACTGCACGGCTTCACCCTGGGACCGCCTCACTGGAAGGTCATCTGGCAGGGTCATGGTCCCACTCTCAGAAACTTGTCTCTGCCTCATCTATCTCCTGCCTCCCTACTACCCATTGGTGCTTGATGGGTAAGTCCTCCCTGACCTCACTCTGGACTGCCTTCCTGGTGGCCCTGTGATTTCATGCTTTTCTTTGAAGTGCTAAGAGGTAATGTCAGGGCTTTGGGGATAGAAACCCACAGGACTTAGAAAGCCCTTGCTCTTGTCCCAGCCAGCAGTCCACTGCATCTGACTGAGGCACTGGCCAGATGCTGGAGAGCAGATGGTGAGGAAGGCCATGGGTGAAGAGTAAAACATATCTGATCTTGTGCTCAGTGTTTCCTGGCCCTTCTCCCTGAGTGACGAATGTCTGAGCACTTAGGGTACTTAGTTTATAGACCACTTCCTTCCCAAGCTTCACAACAGCTTTGTTGGGGAGGCAAAGAAACTTGTGTCAATCTCTTTTGTAGGTGAGAAAAGCAAGCAGTCTTCTTATGACTATGCATGCAGTGGGCAGGATCTCAGAGAAGAACCCTAGCTCTTCTAGTTCAAAGTGGAGGCTCACAATGTCTCAGGAAGGCGGGATCTTCAGAGCCATCCCCAAAGGCTGACACAGTGCAACATGCCAACCTGATGAAATACTACTAGACTTCTGTCGTTTCATACATGAGGTTAGTATTACTGAGAGAAACCAATGTAAAGGACCAATAAATGAGAGATCTAAATAAGGTGTTGTGGACATTGGTCAATAACCACACACCATCCTTTCATCTTTGAATTTCTCAGGCTTTCATACTGGCATTTCACAGTGCTACAGCTTGTGAGATTATAGCAAACATTTCTTGAGCTCCTATTGGATGCAAGTCCAGCTTTGCATGCTTCTCCAGTATCCATTTATTTGGAGTAGTTCCCTTTTCATCTCTGTTTTATAGGTAAGGGAATAGAGAAGTTGAGATACTGTCCCAAGATCACAACCAGTCAGTTGACGCTTCAATATCTGAAATATATATGTATGTATATATAAATATATATAGTCTGTTCCCTATATACATACAACACAATAATAAGTAATATTTTTAGAAATAAAATCCCCCCAAATTTCCCACTGTCTTGAACTAGTAAGTTCTATTTAAAAGCTGGAGAGGAAAAGCAGAGAAAGGGTACAGAATGATGAGGATCACACGGTTATGGAATATCAGGCTTGAATCAAGGCCAATCAGACATAATAAGGCTGTTTTATGGAGGTACCTACCCCTGCTTCCCTCCAGACAAAAGGAGAGAGATACACTTATTCACTAGAGTTGATGGTAACTAATTCCTGAGACAGGAGACAAGATTCAGGAAGCTGCTGTGTAAGAAAGTTTTCTCGTCACTATGACACCACATGTGAAATAAACAACCGAAGGAGGTGATTCATTTTAGCTCACAACCCATAGCCCTTTGCTCCGCTGGTTCTGACCCCTTGGTAAGACAGGACATCATGGTAGTGGGAATAGTGTTATTATTTCACTGTACAAATTGTCATTGAGTGAATAAATGATGGCTGTGCGTCAGGGGAACAAGGAGACAGCAGTGCTGTCCATGACTCAGCCTTTATCTTTCTCCATGGCCTTCCTCCCCTTGTGGGGTTTAAATGGCGCCACACATTCCAACTTAGAAGTCTTTAAACATTCAGAAATTAAATTAAAATGCTCACACCTTGATAAGAGGAAATCTGACATAGTTATGTAATATAGTGTCTGGAGTCATCTGAAAGGAGGAAAACTATTGAGAAAATCCCTCCATAAGATCAGGTTGTAGGTAGTTTGGCACTTTCTTAATTAGTGATCAATGGGGGAGGACCCAGATCATTGTGGGCAGGGTCATTTCTGGGTGGTGGCCCTGGGTTCTATAACAGAGCAGGCTGAGCAAGCTAGGGGGAGAAAAACCAGTAAGCAGTGTCCCTCCATGTCTTCTGCATCAGCTTTTGCTTCCGGCTGCCTGCCCTATGTGAGCTCCTGTCCTGACTTCTTCAATGATGAATAGTGAAGCAGAAGTATAAGCCAAATAATCTCTTTCCTCCCCAAATTGCTTTGGTCTTGGTGTTTCATCTGAGCAACGAACCCCTAATGAAGACACATGGTGATCCACTTGCTGTGAAGCAATAAATCCAGACATATTGTGTTTAAAAAACAGAAGAGTAAATGGCAGCTGGAGAATCAAAAGATGACACATTGATTCCTTTAACTGGGAATTCACACCTAGGGTTTTAGCAGGTATCTCTAGGCCAGGGATAGTACAAGCTAAAGCAGATGGCCCATCCTTAATCTCAAGACATTTATTTGGAAAAGCAAAGATGCCTATAGTCCCAACCCAAGGCTGAAGTAGTGTGAATTCAAGGACAACTGAGCTGCTAGCAAAAAAAAAAAAAAAAACTTAAACATACTGTCAAAGAAGTCACCAGGAAAAAGACCACAGGGTGGTGGTGGGGGAGAGGGCCATGAGTAACAGAGAAGGATACCATCGTCTTTCTATGAAGAGCTAAGGGAGGGTCTGCCAGAGAGAGCACATCTGCTTCTTACTCAATTGGAAGATTATGGAGGCTTTAGACATACATGCAGCAAGACATTTTGGGTACCTGCTAAGTGCCAGGCTCTACTGCAGTGTCCTAGAAACACAAAGATAACCAAGTGACCTTCCCCAGGTCACTCAGATGGTGACAGGAAGGCAGTGCTATCTGGTAACCTGGGCTGGTAGAATCAGATGCATGGTGTAGGGTACATGAGCCAGTCAAAGATGGCGCTGAGGGGAAGTCAAGAGGGCAAGTCCTGAGTTGTTTACAAAAAAAAAAAGATGATTGGCTGCCTATAGCGAACCAGATGAGGTCACTGCATGAACAGCTCGTGTTCACTAGATAAAGCTTAGGGCGTCTAGGCATGTGATAGACTGACCTTTAAAACCATTGGCTGTCTGTTTCCCCGCCCTGCGGTTTTTGCTTTAAAAGATGCTTGCTGTGTGGTAATAAATGAGTTCTTGCTTGATTTGACTCCCTGCTGCATCTGACTGACTCAAGGACCCAGGGAGGCTGGGAGAATGGATGAGCGGCACACTTACTCTTCCTGGGACCCAGCTCAACCTTCCGTGGTTGGGCTAAGACCCCACAGCATGGTGCTGGTGTGACCAACTTCATGAATCCATTGTCACTGGAGAAGGAGGTTAGCTGTACCCACCATGGCCTCTGTATCCTTCTTGATATAGCTACCAGGCATTGGCTGCCCATTAGTCAGGCCTAGCTCAGAACATGCATACCCAGACAACAGAGGCTATAATGTTCACAACTACATAGCACATGTTGTAGTGAGTGTTCGTTCAGCAGATGGCCTGTGACCTGCGTCCTTAAGGATGAGTGCATTTTTTATAGGTTAGGAACTTCCAAGTCCCCCTTGATGACTAGAGCTATCTCTGGTCTATCAGCCCCTTGAGAAGGCAGCAGCAGGCCTTATCCAGAGCCCCTTGAGTGGAGGCACCAACAGAAAAAACAGATCCAGGAGAGGGATAGAGCCACCAGGTGGGGATGCTGCTGAGCCAGTCTGTTGGAAGGAGTCCAGGGTGCCAGCCCACCTACTGGGTTTTCTTTGGCAGAAGGAAGTTCAGCTCCTGATGCAGCTGTTCCCAAGCAAGGCAGGGCTAGTGATCTCACAGTGCTCCATGGGTCCTGGCACTGGAGACTGGAGTGGGGGTGGGGAGGGAAGAGCTGGGGTGGCAGCAGGCAGGGCACCAGGCCAAAAGAGACAGGAACTATTCAGGGCTTCCAGACATTTTGTCATTTCACTGTTTATTTGGGAGGAGAAGACCACCTAAGAAGCCCCGGTGCCCATTACTCTGAAGATGACCCAGTGGGTGCTCATGTCACACAGGAACAGTGAGCTCACCGCATCCAGAGCCCCTGCCCTTCATCAGTCCATCAGTGCCACAGGAAGGGAGCCAGCTTCCTGCTACTCTTGGGCAAGTCACGGACCCCCAGAATCTGTGCTCCACCTGTAACGGCGGGAAATCTCCCATCTGTGCAAATGGCTGAAGCGCTGTGGAAAACAGACCAGAACAGCTGCATCCAGATGTGTGGTTTCTTTCCTTGGAGCAACAGCCCAGGCTGGAGAGTTCTATAGTTGTAGTAGATCCTGTCTTACTCCTCCATACTCCACTGCTGGCCAAGGGATGCCTTTTCACTCCCACCCCAGTCCTGCGCCCACCCCCTGCCAACCTGTGCAGCAGCCTGGTGGAGTTCAGTGTTTCCAGTGGGATCTTCTGCTTTTCCTGCACTGGTCTCTTGCACCGTGGCCCTCCAGGTCCTAGGACTCGCTGTGCATTGCCCTGTCTTTGTGCACACTGGCGTCTCATCTTTTCCTGTCTTCTGGGGTGTGCTTCCTTCCAACACTCGCCAACTCCATCGACTTGGAAAAACAAAGCAGGCATTTCCTGACCTTAAGCCACACTCCACATAAATTCTGGATTAAGTGTGGAAAAACAGATGAAACAAGAAAGACATTGGTAGGAAAAAATGTGGGTACTTACATGCCTCATAGTCAGGAGAGTGTTTCTGATAGGACATTAGTCATAGAATGGATGACATCTCAATCAAGCATCAAGAGGCAAATAAAGATTGAAGTTGTGTGCACTCACAAGGATCTTAGTGGAGACACCTAGGAAAGGGTTTAGAAGGCTGTCAAACAAGTGGTTGAAAGGGGTAATTGTGGGAAGTAAAGGGAAATTCTCGTGTTTTATGGGTGTGAATGGCAATTTAGTGTTTTTTTTAAGAGTTGTTTTTATTTCTAAGTATGTGTCTGTAAACATGAATGCGGATACCTGAAGAGGCCAGAGGCACAACTTGGGTGCTAGGAACAGACCTGGGTCTTTCCCCAAGCCATTTCTTTAGCCTTGGACTTTGATGTTAAAATGTCTGATATACTGTGTATTAGAAGTTCAAAGATTTAGACTGTTGTTTGTACAATGTGGAATATTTAAAGCATCAGCATTCCAAAAGCACAATTTAAAGTCCACACTTAAAAGAACATTTGCAACATGTGTGTCAAGGGGTTAATACCTTCCCAGCGTGAAAAGATCTTAGACACAAGAAACAAAGTGAACAGCTAATTTGAGAATGGGCAAAGGGTACATGCAATTACCTAAAGTGAAATGACTAGAGAGAGTATGGAAAAAATGTCAGTCACATCAATTCTCTTGAAATGTAAATTAAAACAAACTTAGAGTTTCTCTAAGTGTAGCCTTAGAACAGTGTAGGTCTCATGGGGCTGTGGACGCTTCTGTCCTCTGCTATCAGTGACATTAGGCAAGTCCGGGCTTCCCGTTTAAACAATGCTGGGATAATGATACCTGCATCATATAATTGTTCTGAGGATCCAGGCTACATAATCAGTGTGTGGTGTGCACACTCATATTCCTAGCACGTGGGAAACTGGAGGAAGAGGATCACTATAAAATCGAGGGCAAATTGATCTAGACAGAGAGTTCCAGGCTAGCCAGGACTATCTAGTTAGACCAAAACAAAACAAAAAATTTGGCCATGACGTGTGTCAATGTTTGACTGCCACAACATGCCCTCAGTTGCTCTGTGTCATGGAACAGGCGATCTTGCAGAGGTAGTGCCTACTGATCTTTCTCACTGATATTGTCCCTGTCTCTCACCAATGTGTTGATGTCATGACTTCCAAACTTGGTTCTCCTGAGCTAAGTTAAAAAAAAAAAAGACATTATTCCCCACTTTCTCCCTGACTGAGATCTTCTTAGCACACACGGGAAAGTATCTTAGCTTTCATGGGTTACAATGTCAAATAGTCACATGCTTGGTGTGATCTCAGTGATTTATTGCCTCACAGTCCTTGAGACTGGAGGCCCCAAATCAAGTTATCAGCAGGATTGGCTCCTTCTGGAGGAGCTGAAGAAGAGTAGTTCTCTCACGGCTTCTGGGGATAGCTGGCAGTCCTTTGCATTCCTTAATCTGTAGCAGTGTCACCCGGCTCTTTGCCTCCATCTTCACATGGGCTTCTCCTCTGTGTTCCTCTGTGTAGTCTCCAAATTTCACTCTTCTTACAAAGAGCAGCTTGGGTGTGAAGTGCCCCGCCCCCATGGGTTCATGTGCTTGAATGCATGCTATTTTGGAAGGTTGTGGAGTCTCTGAGGGATGACCTTGAGGTTTGATAGCCCACTCCACTTCCTGCCCACTCTCTGCTCTTCACGTGTGTAAGCAGCTATATAACGATACTCGAAGCTATATAGGGAAAACAATATATTTATTTACCAGAGAGAGAGTCTCACAGACTAGGAGTTAGAAGCGTGGCTGGCTTCCAGGAGAAAAGGGAAGCCCCTTTTCCTTTCACTTCCTTTTATCTCTACCTTGACCCCTCCCTGTTGGGCGGATAGCTTTGTGGGGTTCACTCCTACACAGCTGCCTCACACTCCTGCTTCCATGCCTTCCCTGAGGACTGTATCTCCTCAAACTGTGAGCCAAATAAGCCTTTCTGTTTAAATTGCCTCTTGTCGCATATTTGGTCACAGAAGTCACTAATACATAAGGACACATCTGTTACTTTTCTCCTGGATCTGACAAAATACCTAACAGAAACAACATAAGAAAGGGGGAAAATTTCTTTTTCTCAGTTTTCAAAGAAATCAGCCCGTCCTAGACCTGACATGAGCCAAAACATTATGATGATGAGACCATGTGGAGAAGGCTGTTCCCCTCCGGTGGTAGCCAGGAAACAGCATAAAGAGGGGATTAGAGACTAGGTCAACATTCAAACACCTCCAGTCACCTGCTTCTTTCAAGTGGCCCATCTCCTAAAGTTTCTACCACCTTCCAGAATATTTCTCCCAGCTAGGAAACAAATGCTTATCTTATGATCTTATAGGGGACATTTCATATTTAGACCAGGACATTTTGCCCCTGGTCTACTAGCTTGTGTCCATGTCATAATGCAGAATGCATTTAGTCTATCTTCATGAGTCCCCATTGTTCATGGATCAACATTGTCCAAAAGCCAATGCTTAAAGTCTCTCCTGAGAGTCAGGGCAACTCTTGACTCTGAGTCCTGGCATGACATAATGGTACAGAGTTAAAATTCCCATTTTAAAAATGGAATAAAGGGAGAAATGCAAGGAACAATTAGACTAAAGCAAGACCAAAACCTAGAAGGCTGAAAACTACATTGTATAGCTCCATGTCTGTCATATGCAGCATGAGACATGATGTGAGCTCCCAAGAGCATGGACAGCTTTACCTCTTAGCCATCGGTATCTCTGCCATAGCCCGAATGTCTTACTTTCTTGAAATTGCTGCCACCAAATAAATTGGCCCATTACTTTAAAATCCACTCTCACTCAAAGTCTCAGGATATGTAAAAATGAAGATTTTTTTTTGGAACAGGATTTAACTCAAGTGACCTTTGCTCTAGTTTTCGATAGTCTTCATTTCTACATGAAACTTTGTGTGTACAGCATTTACTGTCCATGTGTCTCTTAGCTTTCTGGACCTCTGAGCTCCCATCAGGATCAGCCATTAAACTATGCTTATAGCATGTCATTTAAATCAATCTTATAAAGTATTTAAAGTCTCACACACACACACACACACACACACACACACACACACACACACACACACACACACACACACACCGTGACACCTGTGGAGACCAGAGGACAACCTGGAGGAATTGGTTCTGTCCTCCTACCATGTAATTTCTGGAGACTAAACCAGAGGACAACCTGGAGAAAGTGGTTCTATCCTCCCACCAGGTAATTTCTGGGGACTAAACTCAGGCTGTCAAGTTTGGTCACTAGCAAAACTGATAGAATGAATGAATCTATCTGTCTGTGTATGTATGTATGTACGCGTGTATGTATGTATGTACGTAGGTATGTATGTATGCATCTATCTATCTATCTGGGATTTATTAGAGTGGTTTACAGTTTATTGTCCAACTGTTCCAACAATGGCTGTCTTCCAATGGGAAGTCCAAGAATCCAATAGTTGTTGATTCCATGAGACTGGACATTTCATCTGGTCTTCAGTAGATGATAGAATTCTGAAGAAGTAGGCTCTAATACCCCTACAGAGTGAGCTTGCTAGCCAAAGGAAAAGGACGTCCTTCTTCCTTATCTTTCATATGGGCTGCCACCAGAAGGTGCAGCCAGATTAAAGTAGATCTTCCCCCGTCAAAAGAATGGGATTAGAGTGAGACTTTCCACTTCAAATGATTCAATCAAGAAAAATCCCTCACAGGTGGACATAGCTGCTTGGGTTTTAGTTAATCGCAGATGTGGTCAAGTAGTCAAGATGAGCCATCACATGACTTTAGACTAATTTTCTCTGAAAAGGGGTCTTGGAATGTACACGGTGAAGCAGAAGCATCTACATACCTGTCAACTGTTACTCCTTAACTACTGCCAATCAAAACAGACACAGAGGCACACGTGCAAGTCAGACTTCGGAGGAAGGTATTTGGGGTGGTACTGTACTGTGGCCTCACCTGCTCTACTCTAGTCGTTTTAGCTGTTCTTCCATACTAGGAATGCCAGAGGTGTGGTGGTTTGAATAAAAATGGCTCCATATAATCATATATTTGAATGCATAGCCACCAGGGTGTGGAACTCTGATAGGATTAGAAGGATTAGGAGGCATGGCCTTGTTGGAGGAAGTGTGTCACTAGGGCGGGCTTTAAGATTTTCAAAAGCCTACAGCCTGCCTATCTTCTCTCTCTTTCTCTCCCCTGGCCTGTGGATCAGGGTGTAGCTCTCAACTACTGCTCTAGTGCCATGGGAGCTGTCATTCTCCCACAATGATGATAATGGACTAACCCTCTGAAACTGTAAGCAAGTCTCTAACGAAATGCTTTTTTTTTTTTTAAATAAGAATTGCCTTGGTCACAGAGTGTCTTCACAGCAATAGAACAGTGACTAAGACAAGTGGCCACCACCCAACCACCCTGAGAGGTTACTGTAGGTGGTGTGACTACCGGAATCTTGGGGAAAGGAGATTATGAGAAAGCATTTCCCTGGAGTTAGGGGTTGGTTCTTTGCCAGAGAGTCATATCAAAAGGCTAACAAACTACCGGTGAAACAGGAAGAAATCCTAAAAGCCGAGGAGTTAGATAAGACACAGACATGTCCCACTGTAACGGGCTGAATCCCTGGCCAGTCAGGTTGTCTAGGCTGCCACTCAGATTCTCTTGAGCTATGCCAACCCTTCCTTATAGCTGTTCCCCAGTCTCTTCAGGGTCTGGTGGCAAACAAAGGGGCAGGTGGGTGTGGCAGCACAGCCTACCTGTATCAACTTCTCTGTAGAGGTTGTAGCACTTTCTCTGGAAAGATGGTAACTTGAGGAGGGTTAGTGACAAATGATGAGATGTGTTATAGACAAGTTGGGAGTAGTAAGAGGCCTACAGGACACCATGGAAGAATTGGAAAGATCTAGAAGTAGAACTTCTAAAACCATAGTATTCTGTAGGGAAGGCTGGCCCCTGGGGGACATTATACTATTTTCTGTATTTGTATTTGACTCTGTTTCATGGGGAGAGGTTAAGACTGAGTTTGCATGTATTATCCTGGTTGCCCAGAAGTTTTTACCTAGACTAGCAGCCTTGAAATCATAGCACTTTTGTCTCTACCTCCCTCTTTAGCTCTGTGAAAGAGAAACTCATTTTGATATTTATTAAAATGGTAATGAGGAGTTTTCAAGATTGTTGTAATGGGGAGAATCACAGTCGGAGGAGAGATGGGATAAAAAGGATTGGGGAGTTATAGCTGAGGAGTGGAGTATGGAGGAGGGCCAGCTAGTGAGCAGATGGAAAGTCACTAAGAGGAAAAATCCAGGGGATGCAGCTTCTTGTTAAACTGACTTGACAGGATTTTGGTTAAAGGCAGACCAGAGCAATCAGATAGCAAAAGTAGAGAGAGGATTTGATCCGATGCTCAAATGTTGAGCATGGTGGGATTCTCACTAAACTAACCAGGTAATATACTTGCAAGTCTGGATGGGGCAGGATGAAGAGGGACCCAAGGATGAGATGCAGGCCTGCATCAAAGGAGCCTGGAAGGTTTGGCCAGAAGAGTCTTTGTTAGCACTCAATTAAAATGGACATATATAGGTTATGCATGTGTGGTTATTAATATAAAAAACAAAAATTCACATTTATCTTTAGCAGCAGAATATCCTATTGTGAGGTATGGAAATGAAATGCAACACGGAATCTTGGGTTAGAGCTGGACCAGAGTTTCTTTCCATTTCATCTTTCCCATCAGTGAGAGTTGATGAAATGTTTAGATTAGATAATAGAGTCATAATTGATGGCTTTGCTCTGAGCTTGATTGTTGTGATTGAGAATGTCTTTTCTCTTAGAAAACACTCTCTAGAGAATTTTCAAAAAAGGAGTATCATGTCTTACTCTCAAATGATTTTTGGAAGTGGTAATATGTATATCCAGGGGCCCTCAGGGTAAAGTACACTTGGCAAATGTTAGCATTTGGGGCCCGAGGTAGGTGTGTGTGTGTGAGAGAGAGAGAGAGAGAGAGAGAGAGAGAGAGAGAGAGAGAGAGAGAGAGAGAGACAGACAGACAGACAGACAGACAGACAGACAGAGATGCAAGAGGAGGACAGAGCACAAGAGAGAGAGAGAGAAAGAGAGAGAGAGAGACAGACAGACAGACAGACAGACAGAGATGCAAGAGGAGGACAGAGCACAAGCCCAGGTTTCATCCTTAGGAATGCCATTCTCCTTCTGCGAGACAGGGTTGCTCTGTGGCCTGGAGTTCACCAATCAGGCTGGATAGGAGTCAGTCCAGGGAGCCCCTTGTCATTTTTATGTGCACTAGCAATTGTGCTCTTTACAACTTTCCTGAAAATTAAAGAAACAATGGGGTAGGGGATGGGAGAACCTGGATCCCGGTTTCCTGGGACTCTCTCTGTGTCTATCTTTGTCTCTGTCTCTCTTTCTCTCTCTGTCTGTCTCCACTAGGGGGAGAATTACAGAGTGGCATGTTCCTTAACTGTCAGAACAAACGTAGGCCCAAGTATTATTCCCCAGATGATGTTAATGTCAGAAATTTCATATGTACAGTGGTCAGAACAAAATGTGGTACATATAATTGTCATGAGGAACATACAATAGGAATACATTTATGAGATGTAATTCTACAAGTTTTGTAAATGTCAATTCTTTCCCTTTCCAAGAGTGCCTCTTCATATCTTTGAGAAATAGGTAATTATTAAATTCAATTCTCAGAAATGTCTTTGTAATTTATTACAGTTTACAATTTATTTACAGTTTATTCACACTAACCGTTCACACAGAATTCCACACACGTGATACACAGTCACCCCTTTGGGAATGTTATCCATGGGGCAACACTTGCCTACATCTCGTCTCATCTGATCAGCCCAGAATCTCTATGGAATAGAAAGAGTCCCATTATTATTCCTCCTTTGTAGATTTGCTAATGGAAGCTCCAAGTTTAATGAGCTTTGCTAGGTTAGCTGATAAATGGCAGAATTTGATGGCGAATCTTATTAATTACGGCAAAGCGAAGTTACTGTTGCACTTACATACAAGCTAGTGAAAAGTTTTGCAAAGTTCACTGGATCTCTGTCATTTTATGTGACCATACTCACTCCAAGATTTTAAAATGGGATTTTGAGTTTTTGCCTAGTCATGTGCAAGGCCCTGGATTCCATCTGCAGCAATATAAATACATAAAAGAAAAAATGAGCTAGGCCTAGTTATGCAAGGCTGTAATGCTGGCTGTTTTGGAAGCCAAAGGAGGAGAATGGAAAGTTCAAGGCCAGTTGAGTAACTAAGTAAGTAACTCAAAACAAAATATGAAGGTCTAGGGACATATGTCACTTGGCGGTAAAGGCCCTTGGTTCATTGCCCAGTACTGAAAAACAAAACAAGAAACAAAAACAGCAAAAAAAACCTCCCCAAAATAAAAAACCTTGCTTATTCAATTTCTTTTTTCATGAAGACCTATTAGATATGAGCATGAGTTGGACACTGCAGCTGAACATCAAGAGACACTTAAGCAAAAATCATAAATATGGTGTGTAGCTGCTTGATTTAGGAATACTTGCTAACACCCAGTATTGCAAAACATTGGCGTCTTAATTGTTTGTACACTTGGAGAAGTTTTGCCTTCAGTACTTAGGTCCAGTCACCCCGAGGCTCACTGCGGAGATCATAATGAAAGCCTAGTCCCTAGCTGTTGGCATATCAAGCTGTTTAGCGGTGAATCATTTACTCTGCACCACAGAAGGGAGGAGAAACTTTGCAATTCAGAACCATTTACTTTTCTAAATAGGATACCTTTCCCCCTGGCTGCAGCCACCGTATTTCCCAGAACAGCATTCTTGCCATTTTGGGGCTAATCTTCCAGATAGTTCCTGAAGGCGCCCCCACACTTGGCAGGGGCACAGCCAGACTTATGACTCAGAAGACAACAGTTAGCTGGCTCAGCAATATTCCACATTGCTGGAGACCCTTTAAATGAAAGCAAACTGTACAGACCTAGTTTAGCAAGGAGACACACAACCCAGTTTGGGAAGCCAGTGGTTCCCAGCACTACTTAAAGCAAGGGTACTATTTTTTGCCACTCTGGAAGATCCATTAACTAGGAAACTGACATCCTGAGCCTACCTAGAAAATCTCTTCATTTCTCCAATAGATTTCTCTAGACTTCCCTGGGTCTTTGGATAATTTGGATATGGTTGTCCAAACTTGAGTTGGACAACTTCCTGAGTAGAAAGAGCCAGGTCTGATTGGCTCATTAGCACCTTATAACTAATTGTACCCAAGCTCTGTGCTCTAGACGCCTCCTCTCATTGTTCCCCTTGGCTTTTTCCAGTCACATTCTATCCCAGACGTGTTTTCTCTTGGGGTGTGTGTGTGTGTGTGTGGTGTGTGTGTGTTTTCACAAAATAACGTTTCACAATATATATTTAGTATATGAATTAATTAAATGAATGAGAACATCACCATGGCTAAGAAGAATCACCAAGCAAAACTACAGGAAGTCCTAAAGGATATCATGGAGTTTTCGCAGCACTAAAAGCCCTTGATAGAATCTCAGCGCTACTGCCTTCTATTGATGGGTGGCCAGATTTGAGGCAAGGCAGTGGCGATTCTTTCTTGAGCCACTGTTGGGCGTCCCTCGCAGCTCAGGACTTTGAGACAAGTAAACTTTCTTGAGCTTGAGGAAAGAGCCCTAAAAATGACCAGCTGACATCTGGGCAGTACAGCGTCAGATGGGGAGGTCAAGGGATCCTATTGGGTTGTGCAAAGGTAGGGCGCAAAGCTGATTCAAATGTTTCAGCCTGCTGGAGTCGAGAACCTCCACCTCAGCACCACCTAGCCCTAAACAGCATGTGCAGTACCTCCTGGAACGAGTCTCCTCTCGCCTAAGATTTAGAAATGCCCATCACCACTTTGGGGGAAGGAACTAAACCCTCTCTGGCCCCTCCTCCCCTTGGTTGAAGGTCGTCTTCAGTTCTGGGGAGTTACTGGTAAGCTTCAGCCCTAGCAGGTTTTGGGGGTACGAACCCGAGCATCCTGCAAGGTGGGCTTGCTCCCAGGGATTTGGGCGCTGTGGGGTGCTGCAAGCCTACATTCGCTGGTATCTGCGAGGCGTCTTGGAAGGCTCGTTGAAATTTCGGGAGCAATAGAGAAACTTCTCACTCCCCTTTACTCCTGTTTTCGGGTGAGAAAGCAGTGGTAGAATAGTTTAATTTCCCATCCTAATCCGACTTTGTAAAAATCGTTCACGGAGAAACTGAGCCCAGCTCTGCAGCCGGGCTGTCCCTTGCCGAGTGTGCGCCTAAAAACACCCTGCAGTTCTGGGCTAGCACTCCGGTGTGAGCGGGTCTGGCCGGGCCGCAGAGGGCGTCTGGAGACCGGAGAAACCGTGGCCGCCTGGCCGGTCGCCTTGGCCGGGGCTGTCCCTTTAAATCCTGGAGGAGGCAAAGAGAAAAAAGAAAAGAAAGAATAAAGACACGGAGCTCCTAGCGTTGGGTGGCTCTGCCTGGTCCCCCGCGCCGCCCCTGCGCAGGGACCTGACTCCTGCTCGCTGCGCGCGCGGGTCCTGGGCGTCCCCTGCAGCGCCGCCCACTCGCCAGCGCCTGTCAAAATAGAAATTAGCGGAGCCGGGAGGAGGCCGGGCCGCAGCAAGTGCATGTGTGGCAGGGCGGGGAGGGGGCGGGCGCGAGCGAGCCAGAGAGAGGCGACCGCACACATCCGGGCCCTTTAGCCCCTTGCGGCCCCCGGAGCCGTGGGCGCGGGCTCTGGGCTCCGGGCGCGGGGCTGCCAGCCGCGGTGCGGGAGGCGGGGCGTGCGGAGGGCGGAGGCGCGGCCCCGGGAGGGAGGAGCTGCTCGCGCGCCCGCCGCTCGACTGCACACCCTCTGGAGCAGCCCCGCCACGAGACTCTTGTGACAGCGGCGCGGCCCGCGCGGCTCCGGAGCTCAGGGACCGACGGACGGCGGAGGCTCGGGAGGACGCGAGCGCATCGGCCGGGAGCCAAGTGCGGGAGGCGCGCGGGGTCGGCGGCGCGCAGAGGTGAGCAGCTCCGCGCGCGGGCTGTCAGGGGTCTGCTTCCGCACCTCGGCTGCCTAGGCGGGTCGGGAGGTCGCGGGGCTCCGAGAGGGTGGTTGTGCATCCCCGGCGCGCCCGAAGCGGTGGCAGGGCCGTTGCTAGGAGGCGGGAGGTCCGCGCGTCCCGGGGCGCCGGCGGGGGCAGGGGCGCGCTCCATCGCTGGGCAGGAGGCGGGGGGCTGCGGTGGCTATTCAGGGGCTCCGTGCGTGCGGCAGCCATGCAACCGAAGGAGGCGGGCGGAGGCAAAGAGGGAGAGGAGGAGGGAGGGGAGAGCCAGAGGAGAGTGAGCCAGCGAGCGGGCGCCGCGCCTCCTGGCTGGCACCGCGGCCTGAAGCGAAGTGGCGCGCGGGGCTCGGAGGGAACTTCTGCCGGCGCGTGCGGTCCTGGGCTCCGCGGCGCCTTCGGGCCGGGGCTGGGCGGGGCGGGCCTCTCCGCAGCCACAGGTGGTTCCTGCCAAAAGTTTTGCTGTACTTCTGCCGGCAAGGCTGGAGAGCATTTTGGACGGTGACAGTTTTCTGGTACTTGGACACAGGAACCTCGCGCTGTCTTTTCTTAAACATTAGGAAAGGGATTGTCAAAGGTGGAGGAGATCCCGTACTTCTCAAAGAGGCCCAACTGTTTCCTGGCTGCCGAGACCCGCGTCTGGCTCAGATGAGCATCTCAGCTGCGTGCTCATGGGGGAAGTTGAGGTAAAGGGGCACGCTCACAGAATCCCTCCAGTCCTCGGTAAAGCGAAGCTTAGTCTGCTCCGGAACCTGTGATCCTCGCTGGGCGGCTGGAGATCTCTTTCTAGCCACACACGCGGAAACCGCTTGCGTATCTGTGCTCACGGTGTGCGCGTCTCTGCTGGGTTGACAGCGGTTTGTCTCAGAGCGCTGTGAGGCTTTGTTATTGGCGCTGTTGGTCTGGCTTCCTCAGGAGAAAGGCCAAGAGCAGCCCCGAAGGAACCCGCAGGTCTCCTCACCTATCAAATCTGCATAACTGTGGAGACAAGCATTCAATCCAGTCCATAGTTCTGGGTAGAAGCAGCTGAGTCCGCTGGTGCTATCACTGCAGAGCTAGGGCTGGGGTTTCTGGGGCTTCTGGAGCAGAGACGGGGATTGGAACCCGGACGAGAAAAACACTTAAAAGAGGATATGCTGTCTACAGCGTTGAAAGAAAAACTCTGAGGTTCTGTGACTTGGCTCGGTTCCTTATTGACCAGGTTGACTACCCAGGGCAGCTAGGTAGAAACACCAGGGTAGGTCAGGCTTAGGCTGAAAGAAATCATTATTCCCAGAGAGGGTCTGATACCTGGGTGTTTCAAGTAGGTACAAGACCGCTGAGAGTTGGAAACACTCGGTCCTTCATCTCCGTGGTCTTGTTCACACTCGCTATTCCCCTGGTATGCCCACAAAGCAGCACACGAGCAGGGAAGGGATTCTTTGCTTCAAATAAGGCCACAAGATTTGAGGAAAACAGACTCTAGGCATCAAGAGAAATTCTATGCGCAATCCCAAAACCAAGGAAGGGCGTGACCTGCTATAGTGGTAAAGGAGCAAGGAAACTAGAAATGACATCAGCAGCCCAGGCCAACTTGGGCAGAATTTCCTAGAGCAAGTCCTTCTGGATGTGTTGACAGACATGCCACTCCTAGACCCTGAGCCTGTTATGGGCTTATTATCTGGTACTTTCTAAATTTATGTTATCCAGCAAAGATACTCAGTTTCCTGCACCCTTTCCATCCTTGACCTAGCAAAATCAGGACTGTCACTGGAAAGTCCAGTGTGACATGGTCCCAACTTTTCCTGCACCCTCATTGCCCCAAATCTCCAGATTCCTTGGGCAGCATAATGTGGCTTGATTAGCCAAGACGAGTGTGCAGCTTGTCATGCCGAAGCACCCACTTTCTGTAGGATGCCAGAACTGTTTTCCTGGTAATTAGGTTTTACAGATATTTCTGAAAGGGAGCCCAATTTTGGATCAATTACACTTGGACACAAATTCAGTGCTGTTGTGGATACCAAATGAGAGAGATGAGCAATTATCTGGGGGTGTTGGGATGGATGTTGTTATGAGTATTTGACATAGCTATTAGGCACCAATGAATGGGCTCTCAGTAAATGTTTCTTACTCTGTATTTTATTGAGTAAACAAGTGTCTTAATTAAAAAGACATTCGAGTTGGCCACTTATATTTTAGCCACTTTTTCCTTACCAGTGTATGTGGTGTATGTGTGCGTGTGGTGAGATGGGGGGTGTTTAGAATGATAGTGATTAAGAGAACTTTTTTCCCTCTTCAAACTAAGATATTCTAGAGCAAGGCTTCACCCTCAGTCTGTGATACTGTACATGACCAGGCAGGACCTTATTAAGTCAAAATAAGACTGGGTGTGGAATGGTCAATCTGTACTAGTCAGAAATTACTGTAAGAGGGAACATTCTCTAAGTTTATTGCCTTCAAGGACATGTAGTATGAAGAATTCAAGGCTAACTGTGCCACACTGTGTAATTTCTCAGCTCTCTTACACACACAAGGATCAAAGTTCCCTGTGCCCTTGTTTGGGACACTATAGAAAAAATAAAAACAAACAAACAAAAAACCAAGATCTGGGATAATTTGCTAATGTCTTTTGCTTCTATTGCATGTTAATCTCACCAGCATCCCCAAGAGCTAGATTAATGGAGAAACTGAGGCAGAGTGTGTGTGTGGGGGATAGATTCTAGTGCATTAACTTGCTATTCAGCGTTGTCATCTAGGAGATAGCCTGCAAGAGACTCTCCAACAATGCTTCTAGACTATTGTCCTTCCCAGCACTGAAGCTACAGGGGGATGTCACTGTTACAGATAATCGGAGGCAGTTATCAGGGCACCTTCTCTATGCTCACTCATGTTGGTTTATTGTCCTCCCTCCTGCAGAAGGCTGTGGGAGTCTGGGAACTGAAGAACCAGCTGGCTAAGGTTGGGGCAGGGGTGTGGGATCTATGTCAGTGCAGGACCCAAGGAGTCGGTCTATTTATAAATGCCCTTCCGCTCCTGGAAGAAGAGACTCAAGGGTCTGGAACCATCTGCCATACTGACTTCTCTCCGGGGTGCCTGTGTCCCATTGAAAAAAAGCCTGCCACCCAACCATGTCAGATTGACCTCTATCTGGGGAAAAAAATCCCACAGGACTTCTCGGAGCCTTGGGCCTTTGGGGATTTAAGCTCCAAGGACTCCCAGGAGTCAGCATGTGCGACTTAGGTGCTGTCCCCTTACACTGCATAGGAGGATACCTCAGAACCCTCCCAGGACCAACATGCTAAGTAGAGTACAGTTGGCTTTTAAAATAAAGGCAGCAACTCTATTTTTATGCAGGAGATTCCAAAAGTGGCCGATCAGAAAAGGCCCCCTGTCCCTGACCACGGAAACCTTTCTGTGTGGTGCTGGAGGAGATCTGAGATTCGCTCTCCTTGTCCACTTACCCCTACACCCATCCTAATGGTCTGGTCCCCCTACCACTTTCTCTTCATACCAATCCCAAATCCTCTTTTGTCCTTGATCAATAGCACCTGCCACGATGCTGCTTACAACTTCATTCCCCAGGCCCCCCATTTTCTGCTTGGGCTGGTGGCAGCGGGAGGAAGAGAAGTGGGAGAACCACTCCACTGTGTCTGAATTGACTTGCCTGTAAGGCTGTGTCGGGGGCTCGCAGCAGGCTTCACTTAGGTGGGAAGACATAGAGGAGACTCCCCGAACAGAAAGGGGAGTTGGTATCCGGTCGCAGGGGCAGACACATAAACTGGTGTTTTCCAGGGCAGGGTTTGGGTCAGCTCTTCTCTATGTGCATGGTGTCCAGTTCAAGTCTGGTATTGATTACTTAACCAATACCATGGGCTGAGAATGGAACAGGAGTCAGATTGGCTTCTTTATTGACAGGGCAGCACGGAGAGGGGCATGTTGGGAGGGCTAGGATGTAGCAGCAGAGTGTGGGCGAGAAGAGGGGTGGGTTGTCCGACCAGCATTTTGAGGGCCTTGACGCCAAGCTGCTTGACCACTCACTTCCACCAGGCATGCTAGAAGCAGCCATTATTGACTCAATAGTTGGGGCTGGAGTGCTTTTCTGTGACCATGCCAGCCTCACCCAGTAGGCATGCACTAAGGCTCAGCGGAAAGGCAAGCTGGGCCTTGCATAATCTGTGGCCACCAGGAGCTTGGCCTCTAGACCTCCCCCATACCTGCTTCACACACCCACTCCTTGCTTCTTGAAGGAGCTCCCCATCCTGGTTCGCTGTTCCTCCCTGTGCATCTTCCAGCTGGCTTTGCCTTGTCGTCTGGGTCACAGCTGAAAGATGGAGTTACAGTGCATTCTTTACTGTAGCCAGTGCTTGACTCCCCCATTGGAGTGTTAGCACCAGGAGGACAGGGACATGCCTGTCATGTTTCCTCCACACCGGAGCTGTGCTGGCACACGCAAACAAGTAGTTGAGCTGGTGGCATGTGTGAGGAGGAGGCGGCAGGGATCTCTGTGCTCTAGGTCCCTTCAGTCCAGAGACAGAAATGAAACTTGCTATAGGTGTTCTGATGTGTGCCACGAAGGGCATGGGACTTCCAAGAAGCACAGGCCGTGGTCAAGGTCCTTGAGTAGAGGAGCCTCTATTGGTGGCAGGGCTGAGCTAGCTCACCCTCCCCTTCCCACTCTGATGAGCGAGAGTCTGAGCACAATGCCACCCTTGGAGTGCGAGGAGTTGTGTTTTTCCACCAGCTCCGTCTGTTGGCAGCCTCTTCAGAACAGCCTCGGACAGCTGTCTGCCAGCATGGATACAAGGAGGGGTCCTCTTCCAGGGTCAAGGGGTACACTCAGCCCCACAGAATCAGGGAATTTCATTAGTGTTTCACGCCCCACTGACTTCCAAACCCTACCGAAACAGTGCCTGTAAAAACGGGTTCGTAAGGAAACCTGAAGAAACGATTAACATTCCATTTACCTCTACTTATTTTCTGAT